AATATGCCAGAACATATTAGTAAAGAAGTAATTTACTGTCAGCTAAAGGACTATAGCTTTTATTACTTGTTTGGATGTTACATTTGGGGCTTCTCATGGACTAAGGCCTGAATGAGACAGCACAGAGAAATCATGTTTTAGTTAAGATAAGAGTATATGGACCAGAGGGGTTCAAACTTTGAGACCTAGAACTCAGATAATTTCTGAGGTGAGGTATGAGAGCTTAGAAAAATGATCCGATCTATCTGAATTTAATTAATCTGAGTTTTTGTCATCATGACCAATGCAGAGCTATTGAATCTCTGCCTAATGGCTTTCTAACACAGCACTGAAGTTCAGAGAGTAACACTGTGCACAATGAAAAAGGCTTGTGACCTGTAAGACCTTAAGTTCTATGACTTAAAAGGTTAAACCACATGACATTGCCAATACTCATCTGATTTTTTGATCTATGCAACTGGCAATTTCAAACAAATATTCTGGAAATGGGTAAGATTTTTAAATAAAACTTAGAAATATAGTATTAAGCAAATCTAGCATTGAGATTTGTGTCCTCTACTCTCTCCTACATTGATGATCCTGAAAATATTTCTTGCTTCATCCTCAGATACAGGAATCAGAGGAAAAATTATCAACTTTATTGAAGGAAATCATATCCAAATTAGCCTAAGGAGATTGGATTTTACATTAAAACCACAAGAATAAGTATCAGCTGACTGATACAGAGGCAGAAAATGGAAATAGATGCTTGCTTTTGTCATATTATTACAACTTTATTAATTAATGAAGCAGACCAGAACACTGCTAAGAACTGTACCTTCCAAATCTGATTCTCATTTTAGCTTTATTATGAACTGGCCATAAAAATCACAGGTGTGGTTCATTGGGGCCACAGGGCATTGGAACTATGGTCTTGAAGATCCTGCTCTGCACTAATATTCTCTGACCATTCTATTACTAATGAGCCACAACCGTCAAGTGATGATAAGGGGAAAGAAAACACTAAGGGCTCCTCAGTAGATCACATAATCATATTAAAATTACAATGAGTCTATCCTGTAGAAACTCAAAAATATTGTAACTTTCCATGAGTTAGGTCAAGGTCAAGTAAAAATTTAAGTGATGTTGGCCAGAGATCAGGGTGGAAGCCAAGGAGAACAGAGTACAAGAAAAATGAAAAAAAAAAAGTATTGGTCTAAAATACACAAAAAAGAAAATTGCTAAAAATGTTTCAAGTGGGTCTGTAAAGCTATCTGAAGAGTTAATGTTCCTTGAAAATATGAAGAAGGTATAAGGCGTTCAGTTCAAAAATGGATCCAATTTGTTCTCCCCTTAGATTCTGGCCTGTATAAATATAACCCCTGTGTTTATTCCACTGTGAGCAAATCAACTAAAATCTTATTTATTTATAAATCACAAATAACCTATTTATACCTGTAACAATTTGATTCACAAAAACTCAGTGTAAATTTTATCCTTCATAAAGCCTATGATCATGAAGGTAATTGGAAGGGAACTTTTGAAAAAGGAAAACCATGCACGAAGGAAAACCTAGCAGAGAGAACACATGTAGTGAGCATCTAATAGAAGTAATTAAACTGAAAATATGTTAGTACCACCTTGCAGAAGTGTATTCCCTTACCACTGATTTTCCCTCTACTATAAAGAAAAGCATAAAATCAATTCCTTACCAGCATAAACTTGGAACTATGTTTTTGGAAAGAAAAATCATAGGCTATTGTAGGCATTTCCAGCCTGATTTATTCTTTTCAAATGATTGCCAGGAAACTAAATTTCTATTTTTCCTTCTAGTTATTTTTCCTTCTAGTTATTCATGTTCTTTCTGGGAGGTATGCATGAAAATAAAAGAGCTGAAAAAACTCAGCTGAAGAATACAGCAACTGGAGAATTTATATAGATGCATATCAATCATTGGAGAGCCACATATATATAATGTAACAAAGGCAAAATCAGACTAAATGTCTGTATTTTGCAAAGATTTCATTTTGCAGTCTGTTAGATTTCCATGCACAAGTTGTCATATCCAAAGTTAGGTCTTATAAGACTGAGAAAGCATCTCAGGAACATGCAATGAAACTTTAAATGGACACCCCAGGTCACTACGAGGCTACTCATTCCTCACTATATATCAGTGGTTACACATACAAAAAAGAAATAATATATCTTTAAAATTTTGGGCTTTTTAAAAAATAACACAATTTTAAGATGCATTTTCTTCTTTGATGAAACAGATTGCCTTATGAAACAAGAATTAGAAACTAATTTCTCTCTAAACAATGCTGGCCAGTCAAGACAATAAGCATCAGATAGCTGATCGTATAGGGGCACCAGGTGATACATTCTCACGTACGCCATGTAGACAAACACTAACAGCATGAGTCCTGCACAGACTGAGGTGGATCGTCCTGGCTTGTAAAATCTCTGCAACTATGATACCAAGGTATTCCCCTTATTGTTTGACCTTGGGAACCTGTCTCAAGTTGTCTTAATTTACAGGATGCTGAAAATAAATTTCCAGAGCTTTCTTAAAATTCAAGAGGTGTTCTGGCTATGAATTCATCACTAAATTGTAAACCTATCAGAAGGCAGGAACCCCATCTCTCTCATGTCTATCCTTAGTGCTTTCACTCAACATATTTTCACTGCTAGTTTGTTATATGAATCAAGTCAATTATTCCAGTCTTAGCTGATAATGGGGTTGCACCATTATTCACATTTTGAGTCTAGAAAGGCGTGCCTAACCTTCTGGGACAAACAAAATCTCTAATACCTTTCTACTTTAGAACACACATATCAGCTTCCAAACATTTCTGTTAAAAACTCTGAGCCTCAAGAACATTGAAGGAAGAGCCACTCGTGTGTCTAGAACAAGACCTGCAAAATAAAGTGAAGGGGCCAAGTCTGGCCCCTCAGTAAAGAATGTAGTTTACATTTTTAAAGGGTGAGAAAATTCAGAGGAAAAGAATATTTCATGATGTGAAAATTGTACGAATACCAAGTTTCTGTGGCCATAAAGTGAAGATTTGCTGTAACAGCCACTCTCATTTGTTTCCATATTGGCTGTTGTGACATCTGTGCTCCAAGGGTGAGCGGGGCATCCACGAGGGTGTGCACACCACAGAGCCCACAGTATTTACTATGAGTGCCCTATAGGAAAAAATTGCCAGTTCTAAGCTAGGTGGTCAGATTTTTTAAACCATACCACTTAATAGGCATCAATTTGTCCTGGCAATACTTTTCCTGTATGAGAAAGGATACCAAAAAGAGGACTTTAGAACAACTAGGTCAGCAAGATATGCTATGGTTTCATTCTTCTGAGGTCATTTTGGCTGAGCCAAACATTTTCAGAGTAAACTAGAGACAATTCTGGAGAGTTTCTTAATAGCATGGCATGCATATCTTGGGGAAGGCTCTTATCCTCTCTGGGTTTGTAAGTGGTATTACAGGTCTGTTTCTTTCTTTCCTGTTGTATGACTTTGTAAAAACAAAATTAGTTTTACACTTGAGCATGTTAACATATATTTCCATCTGACATCCTAAAAAATCTATGGGATTGGCAATGGGAATTTTGCCTGCAACTTCTAGTTCAAATTCTGCTTTGGAATACTCCATGTCCCCAAGGAACCTCGTGGTTAACCTTTCTACTCTGCCTTACTTAAAAGCTTAAAATTGTAATTTGCAAAATTTTCATTCTGAAAGTAAATGGTGAGATCCCTTCCAGGCACAAAGGTTCTTAACACTCAAGAACCTAATGTCCTCTAAAACAGCACATCTTTTCTATCCCTTTCCTGCCACCCCATGCCCCATAGCCGACAAGGCTTATAGGATGCCTCCTGACTACAAAAGATGCAGTCCAACATCCTCAATTCTGTTTATGTTTATTAAAGGAAGAACAATGAGCATTCTTTATTATAACAGACATAGCTACTTCTCTATAGTAGTTAATAATATATGAGAAAAATTTATGTATTGTTCACTTATATTTCTACTGTAAAAGATAATCTTTGCCTTAGACAAGATTGTTTGGCTTCATTTCTTTTTGCCTGAAAAGTAAAGTCAAATGTTTGAATTACTCAAGGGACTCAAAATATATACATTTTACATATATCTACAGGGACTCTGGCAATACTTCCAGTCCAGACATAGTATTTTAATTAAGCTAAGAAGTACTGTTCTTAACCACAAAGGGCTAAGTATAAGTAGAATCCTGATTCACCAACTTCCCTTTCTTTTGTAAGAGCTCTTCTATTGTGGTTAGTCATAAATAAATTCACATCCTCCATGATCTAAGAGTCAAGGTAAAAATTAATATATAAAATGTTTTACATACATATGGTTCCAAAATCTGGCCCAATTTATGCAAAAATATATTGCTGGAAGACAATCTAGAACAGGGATGCTAAAACATGACAATATGATGCTATGTTGCACTTCTGCATGCAGACATTTTCCCAAGGAACATGCACTAGGTCTCAGGATCATTCCCAACACAGCACTCAAGGAAGTCACTTATGGTAAAACCTATGTGCTATCCCTACTCTATAATAATGTTTTTTCCCAAATGTGGTTTGTGTGTATCCATGGAAATGCATAAGATAACCCACTGGGATAAGGGAAGATTACATGTTTTGAAATATATACATTATTACTTGAATAGAATGCATACTCAAAATTCTTATATTGTTAGATGTGTATGGATTGGGGCAGAGAAAAGAGAACTAACTCTGCTAGTGTCTCTTTGTAATTCAGCTGAAATAATTTGGATTCAATTTCAGAACATAGGTGGAACTTCTCAAAGGGAAGGTTATGATAATAAATACAGAAGGCTGTTGAAGCTGGAAAATGTGCCCCACACTAGATCATCTGAATCTATTATGTCCTGTTGTCTCCCAACCTCATCTCCTGCATCACCCACCAATCACCCTAATGGGATATCACTCCAACAAATGCCTCCTAAAGTGACACATGGACACACTCACTGTTTCTGAAGTAAATGCTGGTGCTGCTGCTGCTGCTGCTGCCTGTATGTTTCAATTGTGTGCTGAGGAAGGTACTGCATGAGCTCCAGAGATTCTTTGATCTTCAACAGCATTTCATATGTCTCACGGCCCCTCACCTAGGAAAACGGGCAGGAGGAGAGAAAGAAAAACGATGACCTCCAGAACCATCAGGACAGTCAATTCTCATTTTTCATGGGTTCTGTGTTGATGAATTTGCCTACTTGTGGACATTTATTTGTAACATGAAAACCAGTATTCCACAGCACTTAGTGGTCATTTGAGGCTAGGAGCAGAGTATCAAAAATCTATGTTGCCCATGCATGTTCCAGCTGAGGGTGAACATGGCCCGACTCTGCCTTCATGTTTCAGTGCTGTGAAGAAGCTTCTTTTCTGGGGGCTATTTAGTGCCACATTTCCGCTTTTTTTTTGTTTGTTGGTGGTGAATTTGCTATTTAAGTAGTTCCTGAGTGTGGTGCTGAAGTGCTGTCCAGTGTTTTGAGCATAAGAAGGCTGTGATGCATGTGCCTTATGAAGAAAATACAAGGTTAAATAAGGTTCGTTTGGGCATGAATATAGTGCTATTGGCTGTGAGTTCAATGTTAATGTGTCATCAGCATATATTAAATAAGGTGCCTTTAAACAGAAACATGCATAAAACAAGGTTACATGTTGATCAGGTGCTGAAAGTGCTGTGACCAGAGGCTGCAGAAACCTAAACCTGCATTTCCCCTAGGGGCAATGAACAGTTCCGTGTTTGCTAGTACATTGCTTGCAGTGCCTTTTTAAAGTATAACTATCACAAATAATGAAAATTACCTGTAACTACCTCTGGAAGGACAGATAGCTTCAGCTGGGGTAAAGTGTGTTTCTCTCTTTAAGAGTCTCTTAAAAGCTTGAAAATGTATGAGCAGGGCCAGGAGTAGGGAGAGGCAAGCAGGGCACTTGCAGGGCCCTGCAAATGAGTGAGTGCCTATTTAAATTTTGCACCCTAGGCACTTCACTTGCCTCACCCCAGTCCTCACCCCAGTCTCCACCCTTGGTATGACAGCCAGAATTTGTCAGAATTCAGAAAGATTTACTCTACCTTTTGTTGTGTTAATGCCTATTCACCCAGCCCTGGGATCCTCTTCGCTTGAGAAGCTTTTCTTGATCTCACTCTTTGAGACCTAGTCTTCTGTCCTTCCTATGTGCTCCCACAGTGCCATGCCTAGCTCTACTGAGATGATTATTTCATGACTTTATACCTATTTTTCTCCTCACTAGAAGGTGAGCTCTCTGATCCCTAAATGCTTGCTACTCAACAAATACCAATCATACTCATGCTATGTTAAGAGTTACTTTTTCTTCACACAGTTCGGTGTGACTAATTCTTTTTTTTAATGTATTTTTCAATTATAGTTGATATACAATATTATATTAGTTTCAGGTATACAACCTAGTGATTAGACATTTATATAGCTTATGATACGATCACCCTCATAAGTCTTGTACCCGTCTGACACCATACATAGTTATTACAGTATTCCCTGTGCTGTACTTTACAACCCTGTGACCTTCTTATAACTGGAAATTTGTACTTTTTTATTCCTTTCACCTTGTTCATTCATCTCCCTCCCCCTCCCCCTAATCTGGTGACTATCAATTTGTTCTCTGTATTTATGAGTCTATTCCTATTTTGTGTATTCACTTATTTTATTTTTTAGATTGCACATGTACGTGAAGTCATATGTTTTTACTAATTTTTCACTAAACATAAGCTGTAACTGACTCAGTTTGTCCCTTCACTAAGACAAACAGATTTCATTTAAAAAGAGGTTTTTAAATGATTCCTTTGTCAGAAGCTAAAAACATATTAGGTATTTTTTTTTCTTTTTTTTTTTTTGTATTCCAGTTGACCTTTGAACAACATGGGTTTGAACTGTGTTAGTCCACTTATACACAGATTTTTTCTTCAATAAATATATAGCCAGCCTCCCATATCCCTGGGGTTCTCATGCATGGATTCAACCAACATCTAATGGAAGACAGTATTTTTGATCCACAGTTGGGAACGTGGATGTGGAGGGTGGACTCTACGCAGTGTTCTATGCCATTTCACATAAAGGTCTTGAGAATCATAGGATTTTGGTGTCTGCAATTGAGCGGACGGACAATTGTATTTAGTATATCAGCATAATGTTTAACTTAAAGTTCACAGATCAGATTCTATATGTAGCCTGAGAAACATGACACTGAGAATCTTAGTGAACTTACCGTGCGATTGTTCTACCAGCCACCAGTCTACTTCCCTGATAGTCAGGACTCAAAATAAGTAGTGAACAGGTATGGCACACCCAAACCTGTTGAGTTGCTTTAGTTTCAATCCCAGGGTGGCAGCTCCCAGTCAAATCTGGCCATGATTGCCTGTGTCTCATGTCAGGTTAGATGGCATCAAGGGCTATACTGGTTACCAAAACTTTGCTGCCACACTAACTGGCAAAGACCTGAGGGAGTAAGATTTCAACAAACCACAACCACAGACTAAAACAGGCACCCTAGGAATCTTGAGAGGACTAATGCTCCTTGTCAGAATGAACAACTCTCTTACACAATGATTGGGCTAAGTCTTCTGGCCTTTCACATATAACTGAGGATTCTGCCTTGTTTGGCTTTCTCTACAGCACTACATAAAAGAAATCACAGTCAGTTCTCTATAAATGTTGTATGACTGATTTTGTGAGCTTCTTCTGACAAAATTTTAATCCTAAATCAGTTTGGCCATGTTGTCTAGGATAATCTTACCATTCTTAAATAATCAAGTATAAATTAATTTTAAATATTTGAGTAAGAAAAATTCTCTTAGGAGAGTAGCTTTGACTGGGTGAGCAGTAAGTAGAGGAGCTCATACTACTAATATATTTCAGCACTATGGAGGGAAGGGATTGTTTCCTGATTTCTCAAAAAAAAAATAGTTTCTCTGTCTTATCTCACTAGCCCTCATTATCCCATTCTCATTGTAACAGATAATAAGAATATGACCACAGAGTAACAGCTCCTTTAAAGAAGGTGAAAATGAAGCAATCAAGAATACTTAGGGGCGACTCACTGGTAAGTATAACAATTCATCATCTGGGGATCTTCGTTTCTTGATGGATGTCATCTGGATGCCATGTGTGTTCTGACGAAAAGCTGGTGGAGGAAAAATGCAAGTGTCATCCTGGGAACATTTCTGAAGCAATAATACATTTCCTAAAAGACAATAGCACCCACCATACCTACATGATTAGATTTTCTAGTTCTGAGCACCCATTTAATTGGTGATGATTGCATTTATGTTAAATGCAAACCTAACAGTAATGAGGTGGGGGATAAGTGAGGCAGAACAAGTGAAAGGAAGAATTGTGGGATGCCAGGAAATTGCCTGTGGCTTAAGTCTTGCTGCAGGGATCCCTGTGTCTCATTCACTGGCCTGTGTCTGGAACGGCTGTTACAGAAAGGAAGATAAATTGGTTCTGTGTTGCATTTTTCAAGTCATTTATCTTCCAAGGTGGTAAATGCTTGTTGTAGAGGTTGTCTTGCCAATGTATTCAGACTTGTGCTTTCATCCCTCCCAGGTTAGTATACGTATCACGTAACTTCTGACAAGCAGGCTCACTTCCCAGCACCTCAGTTTTCTCTTCAGTAAATTAAGCTCGTACATCCCTGTGGTTTCCAAAATTAGAAACTACATCCAGGATCTAGGGTATAGAAATGATCCTTCCACCAAAGTTCAAATAATCCATTCCTACTGATATTCATTATTTTGTAAGGCAATTTTGAGGTGCTCAGGAAACACTATAGGAACTAGGCCACCAGGAGGCCTCAAGAGCAAAATTAGGGTGGGAATATAATTATATTTATGTTTTTTATATATTATTATATTTAAAATTAACTTACATAGTTCATATCCTATGCACATGTGAACTATTCACATATGACCTTTTGAGGAATAATCAAAGAGCCTTCCAATAGGAAGAGCAAATCATAATGAACAGTTAGAACTTGACAGTGACTAGACATCATAACCTTCTGTGGTTCTCCTGCAAAATACAGTATGATTTCTATTTCTTTCTGGATACTAATTAGTAATAACATTAAAAGTCTTTCATGAAATAAGTAACAATGTGGCATACTTTACAAAATTTGTTGTAGTGATACCAGAGTTATGCAAGGCACCTTCTAGAATCAAATCTCCCTACTTAGAGGCAAGTGTGGATCAGTGGTTGTCACCCTTTGTTAGCTGAGGGCTGGGCCTCTGAGGGGTGTGCTTGGGGCTGCAGACCACCCCCAGCTCCCATTCCCTTCAACTAGAGCCCCACTGCTTTTATCCAGTTTTCATTGTGGGTTCCTTGAAATATTTTATATTTCAAAAAGCTTGTCTGCTTAACAAAACAAGTTTGAAAACAACTGACCCAGATCATTAGCCTCACTATCAGTAAGAGAACTGTGGCCTCAATGTCAAGGCTCAGTGAGACCCAGATCTGTATATTCTCAGACAGTGCTTTTACAAAATGTGTTCTCACTGTCCCCATAGACCACGAGGCTGGCAGATGTATTGTCAGCCCTTGTGCTCAGTAACAGAAAGATAAAGTAATACCAATAGGCTAAGCTACTGATTTGCAAACTTCAGCTAGCATTACAGTCACCTGGAAGGCTTATAAAACACAGGCTGCTGGGCCTCAAACCCAGGGGTCTGATTCAGCAAGCCTTAGAAGTAAAAATTTATGTTTCTCCCCAGTTTCCAGATGATACTGATGCTATCGGTCTGGGAGTCACACTATGAGAGTTGCTGGACTACGAAAACCTCACAATGACTGTGTTTTTATAAAAGTGTAATGCACACCTTGAGTTCATCTCAACACCTTCATCAATGCAAGAGACATTCCCACTGCCTCTGGGACCACAAGTCATACTTTCCTCTAGAGACCTTTGGTCCTTTATACAGCTTCTCAAATATCACACCCCACCCCTATATCTGGAGATAGACTTAACCCTACTCCATTGGCCACTACAGCTACTTACGGCGCTTCGTACCATCACCGTTCTTTGTGCTGTCCGAGACCTGCTGCTTTCTGATGCTGTCTTCATCGGCCTTCCTGTCTCTCCCTGGGCAAGCGCAGATCCGGGCCTCAAAGCAGCGTCGGCCCAGGACTTGCCCACTAGGAAGGACAGAAGAGGAGAGGAAAGGATCAAATTAAAAGAATTTTAAAAGTCCCCTGAAGTTCTCTTTCCACTGCTGGTCATCACCAGTCCATCACCACCACCAGCTCAGTCAAAGCTGCTTTGAGGGTGCACCCCAAAGCTCTTGGCAGAATACAAAAGTGCTTACATGCCACGAGCAATATTAGTAAATAACATTCCACTTGTTCTGCCAAGAACCTCCAAGCCATTAGCTGAACAGCTGTATTTAGCTACATATTTTGAAGGAAGCTTGAATTAAGCCAGTGGATGTTTCTGGATAAAACCCCCACAGGCAGCCCAGACTTACTCAAAGAAACTGTTAAATGCCTTGGGGGGCACGAGAAAACAAACACTGTCTAATAGCACTATTCCAGTTAAATGTCAGGAATTCAGGTATGAAGCGACTTGCATGCCTTCCCTCTTTTTTTCCCCTCTATGTTTACCCACCCTGTTTTGTCTCTCCTTTCTTAGATCTTTTATGTAAGTATTTGCAGCAAGGATTTAAAGCACAAAGGATAAAATCAAGGGTAGCTCTCTGCTGTGTATGCAAAAGTAATGATAAAGCAAACACCATTTCCCTTTGCCCTCTGCCCATGGTTTCTGCAGATGACAATTCTGCCTATGCCACTTACTCTCTGGTTTCCAAAGTAACAATGATTAAAATTGGACGGCGGTTCATCCCTCCAACACAACTGCTGTTACACATGAAATTGTACAAGACTGTGGTGAATTCAGTGCCAACCTGAACACGGGGAAAAGAGAGTCTGTGTTAACAATTTGACCTAATGTTCTTCCTTCTCAGTTCTTCCTCTAATTAAATTAACAGTTCCACTTCTGAAGAGGTGATAATGTTTTTTTCTAGGAACACAAATTCATAAAACCCATCAAAGTTTCTCTTTGGCTCACCTCTTGGGAAGCTGAAAGCTAATGTTTACAACATGGGACACTATAAGGGTGATAGGCCTTTTAAAAGAATCATCTTTGGCCCAATTCATTTGAAAGCTGATATGTATCACCCAATTCAAACAGTGTTCACCCAATATATGAATATCACTGTAAAGGGAGAACTGAAAAGATTATCAAAAATAGCAGCAATGTTCCATGAATATTTTCCCCAATTACATAGATTTGAAGATACACTTCCATAAAAAATAACACTCTGGAGCTTAAAAGGTCCTCAGCATTAAATCTTCTAGTGCAAAGCAACTAAAGTCCAGAGAGGAGGAGTAACAGTTAAATAGGTTCACACAGCAAGCCAGCAACTAAGACTCTGGTCTCCCTACACCAGTATTCTGCTTTTCTAATCTGCCACCTGTTCATTCAAATTTCAACTAAGAGATCCCTTTCAGGGTCTCCCAATGGCAAAGTAGAATACCTGCATCCAGTATTGCTGCTCTCTGGATAAGAGAAGGTCATGTATTAACTCAATTGAAAGTTCAATTATGATCATTATCAGCCTTTAAGATGGGAACTATTAATTTTTAGATTTTATTTATTTATTTCTACAGTGAAGGAAAGGAGGGGGAAAGAGAGAGAAAGAAACATTGACATGTGAGAGATACATCAATCGATTGCCTCTTGCATGCCCCCCAGCTAGGAACCTGGCTCACAACCCAGGTGTGTGCCTGACTAGGAACTGAACCAGTGACCTTTGGTTCGCAGGCCAGCACAAAATCCACTGAGCCACACCAGGGACAATTTAGTTTTGAAGGAGACAGAGAAGCCATGTGTGGAGAAGAAGGAGAAAAAAGATACAAAAAGGTTCTGTGTTTGATAACAAGGACTAAGACAGAAATAGATGCTCGAAACACTCTTTATCACTCAAATGAGTCCTCTCCCCACTCAGCCCAGTCCTTATCTTTTTACCTGGGGTGGCTCATAAGGTACCAGCACACTCTGTCTTCCTGTAATGGGGTCTTCTACATATTGGGCATGGCTGTTCCCTTCCACGCGAATCAAATGACTGGGAGGGGCGATCTGTCCTGCAGAACACAGAAAGACAAAGCAGTTAATTCTTCACCCTCAAAATGAAGAAAACAAAATGAAATGGCATAGACAGAATGTTGGGGGTCAAAGCAATGATTTATAGAGGAGATATATATCCTTAACAAAGGAAAAGATCTTATTGCCAAATATCTGTGTCATGAAGGTGTTGCCACCTTTACAGCAACAGAAAGGACTGAAACACCCATATATACTTGAGGGACCAGTCCTATGTTTCTGGTATTTAAGGTTAATAATTTAAGATTTTAGAGAACTCATATGAATATATCTTTGAATCTCAAGAGGAGATTTTGCTAGATGATGGAAAGTGGGAGGAAAGGAAACAATTTAATTTTAAAAAATCAGCCTGAGACCAGCAAAAATAATAAATAAATGGCAATAGATGGTAAGAACATCACTTTCCCTTTGCCTATTTTCTTCTCCACATAAAGTCTACAGCTTTAGACCTTGCTTTGGTTATCAAGATGAGAAACTTACTGGTTTTGTTGTGCTGAAGAAGCCCAAAGTTGAAGAATAAGAAAGGGGAACAATTTTTTTTAAAGTGTAGGCAAAGTTTCACAAAATTATGATATTGGACAGGGATCCAAAAGAAAGAGGCCGATGCAAGAATTTGGAACCATAAAGGTTGTTTTTAACCTTTGACCATGTATTATCATTCCCCCAAAACTGGTATTTAAGAACAGTGAAAAGCCAAGTGTGTCACGATGCCCTCTGAAGCATCAGATATTATGGCAAAAAGTAAAAACAGCTATTATGTCACACTGAGAAAAAAATAAACAGTTATATCACCTTGATGGATCAAGGGCAGTTATAAAAACCTATAATAAAGCTTAGTTTTAGGAAATACGCTTTATGGCATATTGTTAAGTGAAAAGCAACATGCAAAGGTATAATGGGTAAGGAAGCCCTGTAGAAAAGGACTAGAAATTAGTGTGTGAAAATCAGGTGTGTTAAAGTGGGAGGATTTACACCTCATTTTCTAATATGAAGAGCAGAAATTTTTATCTGCTCTTTTTCTTCCTCTACTAATTTTTCTCTACGGTCCCTTATATTCTCTACATTCACATATTCTAGCAACCAACTAATCTTTCCCTTTTAAATATATTTTCTACAGAAAGCATTCTAATTCCCAACACCCCTGCACCCTCACCACTCTTATGAATCCTTTACATTCTCCTATCCTTCCTTTCCATTTCTCTGTGTTCTTAGACTTCCTTCAAAAACCTTAGAATGTAAAATGTCAGGGAACCCTTGGAAACACTGAGCTCTCCTGTAAAGCAATTGCTGGATTCGTGGCTCAGAACACAGGATAGATACAGACTGTAAAGGTGGCCCCAAACACCTGTTCCCAGAAGCCTGGTCCTTCACTTTCCTGTCCCCTCCCTGCCTTATGTTGCAGATTTCTATTTACTCCTCTTGCCTACCATTTTTCTTCTCTCTTTTTTCTTCTTTGTTACTTTTCTCTTCTATTTTTTCATATTGCTTACCTATTATGTTCCTTCCTCTTACCTTTCTAGCATTCAATTAGTCAAGCCTTGACAAATCATTCTGGGGAAAGCATGAAAGCTGGATTCTCTAGCCTGTGCTGAACAGACCAAATGCCATACCATTCTTTTTATACCTCTTATTTAAAAAAGGGAAAATAAGAAGTAGGAAAAAGACAGGCAGGTCCAGGTTATCCAGTCACTACTAACATTAAATTAAATAGTTCAATCACTGTGAGTCATTGTGAAAGCCACACATATATTGATTATTAGTCTCAGATACTCTGTCAGCCATAAAAGGTAGACCAAGCTGCGATCAGTTTGCAGAGGCTGGAACCAGGTGAGTGGGCTCCAAACAGAAGTCTTCATAGAACCTCTATCCTCCAGGAGCTTAGTTGAATAGCCAAAGAACCCTCTTCTCCTTACCCTCATTGAATTCACGGCTCAGCTCGTGATTGGGGCACCGTTTCACCACCTCAGTGACATGCTCAGCTTTCTTGTAGACAGGCATGGCGCGGATGACAGCACCCTGAGGAGGTGGGGTCATCACCTTGATCTGGATGGGGCATGTCTTGGCAATTTGGCAGTAGAGTTTCTTCAGTTCAGTGGAATACTGCTTACAGATAGGTAGATGATGGAAGGAAGAACATACAGAAGATATTGTTACACCCCAAATCAAAGCAAGGACATCATGTCTACCTTTTAGAGCCTTTATAGTTGTATGTTTACCATTGGCTACTATGTACATGACAGTAAGCAATCTTAATAGAATGAGTTATACTCATTAATCAAGCTAGTAATTTTTCTACTTTAAATAAATAAAATCTAATATTTACAAAAGGTTTCACTTTTTTCAAAATGCATTTATAGAATTATTTCCTCTCTTTAGGATGAAGAAATTGAGTCTCAGAAGGGTTTAAATGATTAATACCATGAGCAGCTTTATAGAGCACCAGAAACTAAATGGAAAACTAATGTTCACATGAATTGAGTGATAGTAAACAGATTATAATAAATCCTGCCATTACAACACTCTAGAAAAGACTCATAGGAATTAGGATATATGGGGAAAAAATTTAAGATGATGTCTGGCAGAGTGAGGAGATTTTACCCAAAGTTAACTAGCTTGAAAACAACAAAGCAAAAGTGTCCCCAAACTGCCACACTTATCTTCTAACAACATGACCTAAGAGAGTGCAAAATCTGGAAGTGGCCATTCCATTCTATACTTTCATGAAAAAAGGACTGGCTTCATGTAACACAGCAAATCATGACAGCAAAAGGATCAAGATGGAGACTTTTTCATCCACAAGTGAGTGAAACCTTTCCTGCACACACTTCCTTCTGCAGGGAGAAGAATTTTGGTGGTTGGTTGTCCAGGTGTTTGGTTGGATATAGAACTGGCAAAATAGGATTGAGAAAATATGAGACCAATTAGAAACAAAAGGTGGGGGGAGTCCTATCCTGTGTTGCTTTCTCTTTTCACCTCTGAACCAGCACAGAAAGTCTCCATTCCAGTCCTTTTGTGGTATTAAACCGTAGCACCCCTGTTCTCTGGGTCAGTCCCCCATCACTGCAATCCTACTCACTTTGATGCTGGAGTGAAACCACCCAGGCACTAGAATTGCCAGCCAAGAGTGAAACACCTAGTAACACTTACCCAAACAAGGGTAAACACACACACACAGGTTGTAATTATAAGTTGGCAGCAACATCTTTCTAGGGGAAAGACATGGGGGAGCAGGAGCCAAAGAGGCGAAGAGTCATTATTGATATGTTCCAAGCCAACACTGACTAAAGGCAAAAAAGCACATTTAAAAGTGCTTTATCTCTTGCTTTTTGAAATATAATATGTATTTAAATAATTTTATATCCCAAGTATTTCAGCATATGAAATTTTCAGTTAAAAACTTCCTAATATTAAAAGTGTATTGCATAATCAGTTCTCTGTGCCCGTAGGTCAAGGATTAAATGCAATGAAAGGGTTTTAGATAGTTTGAAGAAACAGGATACATGCCAAAAAAATCAAGCACAGAAATAAAATTCTGCTCAGGAAGCACTGATTGAAATTTAGATGGATATTTTTGCTCTAGTGTTTTTAACCAATGATTTGAAAAACAAACACATTTTCTTAGGACATGTTAAGAACTCACTTTTATTGAGAACTCCAAGAAAATAAGTTGTATTTTTATTTGTAATCTAACCATGAGTTTCATAAGGTGCGCCATAGGAAAGATGGCTGAAAAAAAAGTCTGTCGGCAAACACCTGAAGGCAAATAAGGCATCCATCCAAGTATGTAGATTGAAAAAAAGAATGATAAGTGTTTAGAGGAGGACAGTTAAGAGAAACATTCCACTTCAATAATTGATATACTATAAATCAAACTTGACAGACTAAAATACAGATTACTAAGAATATATTTAGGCCTCATCAGGTATTAATTTTCACTTGTCCTCAGGGATGAGCAAAAGGAATCTAATTTTTGAACTTAATAAATAAGAATAGCTTCTCCATTTTATGAATTCTCTTGTGAGAAATTTAATCTTGACGTAACCCTTCGAGGAAGGTATTATAGATATACGATCTCTTATCTGAAAACCCTGGGGCCAGAGGTTTCAGGATCCAGAATTGTTTAGATTTGAGGAAGGGAGTGAAGGTTATATAGCATATATTGTAAACAGCTTCAGCAGGATCTAGGGCAATGCCCCATAAGCGAACCTGAACATTTCTGCCAAATTCATGAATATGCATACTCTCTGGGAAAAGACTATAAAGCCTCAAACTCAGGCTGGATTTCCCCACAAGATGAGTTTGGTACAAACTTATGAAACTAAAACAAAACCAACACTGGTTTTCAGAGCTCTTTGAATTTCAGAACTGCAGATAACAGATAATGCATCGGTATTTTTATACCCACTTCACAGATAAGAAAATTAAGGCATAGAGAATGTCTGAGGCCACAGAGAAGAGCTGGCTAGCAACCAGCATATAGGAGTCGTTCTTTGTCTGGTAATGGTTCCTCATCCCTCTATTCTCTTGACTTAGGGGTGCACATTTTTGTACTTCCACATTTTTTTAATTCTCAACAAAATGGCTATTTTTAAAAAATCAACTTAAAGGTATACAATCTTGTTTAACATTAAAATAGAACTCAAAACTTGTCTGCTTAACATCAATAATTCCTCTCTTTGTTTCTCAGTATAGTAATGTTTGTTCATTTAAATGCAGGGAGAGGCATATGTGTTAGAAGTGAAAAAACCCTGGAAGCCACCTTGAACCCTCACACTGTACCAGCTTTCTGCTAAGACTTCTGTTACAGCGCTGGGGAGTTCACGAGTAAGGTTCTGCTCTTTTGCATGGTTTATTAAGGCCCTTTATGTTCTGGCCCCATCTCTTCCATTCCTTCCCTTCACCCCACCAAACCCACCCACTTCCACCCCATGTCCTACACAAACCTCTGAGTGCCTCAAACACACCACCCACAACTCGAACATGCTATTCCCTATCTGGAGCATTTGTGTTTTTCCTCTGTTCTCAATACCACACCAGGCCAATGTAGGTATCATTTCTCAGCTAGGATTGATCTAGTAGTATAGACCATATTTTCCAATTTTAGTGATGAGGATTTTCTATTGACTACATCTAAATAGATGACTAGGGCCAAGAAACATTTGGATTATTGCTTCTGGCTAAGCTACTATGCCTGCCAGTCAGTTACCAGAGGGGCTGAAGTGGTCTGGCATGGCCAGTTCTTTACAAAGCCAAGCTTCTGCCACTGTATTAGCTTCACTGCATGTTAATTGATTCTGTGAAGACATTTAATATTTTTCCAGTACTAAATTCTGTCTTTCTGGCCTATACTATGTTCATAATTCCTTAGACTTGCCTGCTTCCTTAGTCCCTGCCAAATAGCCACTATGATCTTCACCAATTTTCCAGGATCCTGAAAGATCACACAAAAATGAGAACCTGATATATGCCAAGATTTTTAAATACCTCAGTAATTCAACAGAGACTCCACATTGGAACAGCTCTGGCTTCTTTTAATGCCTTTCTTTCTCACTGGGACTTAACATTCACCTTTAAAATGCTCCCAACATTGATTTGAGATTCTTTAATTCTAACATCTAATTTCTTCTTTTGGGTACGTGTGTTTTGTTTTAATCAGCCTTAAGACATCATTTACTATAAAGTACATCAATTTTTAAGTGTGCGAGTTGATGACTTTAGGCAACTGTACACACTTATGTAACCACTGCCACAATCAAGATATAGATGATTTCCATCCTCTTCCTTACCTTCCTCCTCATCAAAAGGATCTTAAGCTGCTTTGCAGTTAAGCCTCTCCCCAGCCCTTTTCCAGACAATTAAATACCTGCTTTCAGCCCTGGCTGGCGTAGCTCAGTGGATTGAGTGCGGGCTGGGAACCAAAGTGTCCCAGGTTCAATTCCCAGCACGGGTACATTCCTGGGTTGCAGGCCATAACCCCAGCAACCGCACATTGATGTTTCTCTCTCTCTCTCTCTCTTTCTCTCTCTCTCCCCCCCTCCCTTCCCTCCCTAAAAATAAATAAATAAAATCTTAAAAAAAAAATACCTGCTTTCTCTCACTGTGCATTTGCCTTTTTAGAATTTTATAAAAATGGAATAATACAGTATATAATCTCATGTGTCAAGCTTCTTTCACTTACCATAATGTTTTTAAGATTCATCCTTATTTTTTCACATATTTCATATTATTATTTAGTAGAATCTCATTATTTATCAATTCACTAATTATTTCCAGTTTGTATTTACTAGGAATGAAACTATTATGAACATTCATCTATAAATCTTAGTGAGGACATATATTTTCAGTTTTTTGGATTAGGACCTAGAGGTGTGATTGCTGGGTAACTGTATGCCTAACTTTATAAGAAACTGCCAAACTGTTTTACAAAGAAGCTGTGCCATTTTACATTGTATCAGCAATGTATGAGGGTTTCATATCTTTGCCAGCACTTGGTTTTGTCAGCTATAATGCCATTCCAGCAGGTGTGTAGTGATTCTCCTTGTGGTTCAGATTAGCATTTTCCAGATTATTAACAGTGTTGAGTATCTTTTCATATAGTTATTTTATATACATTTATAATTATACTTTCATATATAAAGTAACACTTATTTACTTTATATGCTAATTTGCTATTTTTTGAAGTGTTTGTTCAAATCTTTCATACTCTACATTTTAATTGTATTGTTTTTATTCATATTTTGAGTTGAATAAGCTCTGTATGTATTCTGAATACAAGTCCTTTATCTGATATAAATTTTTAAAAAATATTTTCTCCAGGTCTGTAGCTTACTTTTTTTATCCCGTTTTCTGTGCTTTTCCAAAACAGTTCATTTTGAACATGTATCAATATTTTGCCTTTAGTGCTTATGTTATTTGTGGCCTAAGCAATCTTGGTCTAACCCCATGTTAGAAGTATTTTCTATCTTTCCTTGTAGGAGATTTATGATCTTAGTTCTTGCATTTAGTCCTATATCTACTTTCAGCCTCTTCTTTGATCTCTTCTTCCCAACCTCCTCCTCCTTTCTCTTTCTCTTTTTAATGAATGTTCAGTTGTTCCAACA